CTCTGGTCAGTAAATATACCCGTTCATACCTCAAAGCATCGGAAGATATATGCAAACAAGTTATGAGTTAAATCGGTGGCAATGAGGAAGCCACATCGTCAGAATCCATTGCTCTTACAGCCTTACGGCGGAGGGTGTGCACTTAGCAGTCTTGTGTGGTTGTGAAACATGGGGATCTTGGTTTGCGTTGATGTGTAACGATTACCAGGTTGGCGCACCTGCGATTAGTCATCTAGACCGCATACTGAACTTGGTGTATTAAACTACTGAGTCAAATTCTGTACTATTGTGCTGCTTAGAAATCACACAGCCGTTAATTCTTATCATCACAAGGCTGACTTTGTTAGGCTTTTGTTTCGCGATACGCGAGTAAGCCTGGGTGTTTGACATCAATTAACTTTATTATTGTAAAAGGCACTGATTCACAATTTTTACTTCGATCTTTTGTCAAAGACCAGAGGCTCTATCTATTATCCACCCTTAGTAGTTTGCTATTCTCAAACTAACAGCTCTTTCTTGATGTAACCAGTTTAGAATAATTCTTCTTCGCCAAAAAAGTGGTGGGACTCAGACACTTATTACTTATGCCTATGATTATTAAAACATATAAAAAATATATGCCATCTGTTTCTCCACTGAACAATAGTGATCATGAGACACTCATGTTACAATCTGTATGTGAATTTTCGCAAGTAGTCCCACCACTGAACATCCCATCCCTTAGTTACGCAAAAAACTACTAGAATAGATGTAAATTTTATCACATTGTATTGATAATTATTTACACCAAGATGAATACAAACATCCTGTTTAGTGCGCCGACTATGGATATCTTATCAAGTTTTGTGCAGACATGACACTTGTTTTTGGTCGATTAATAAAAAGAACCAACTCCACGAAATTCCCGAGAGTCTGCTGAAAGGATAAATAAACGCTTAGTAAATTAGTACAATGAACATTTACATTAAACTGGACAGATGTATTTTAGTGGTCCAGGATCTGACTCCAAGTAGATCGTGTGAATGATTGTTATTGGATGATTGTTGTCGAAATGTATATGTCGCCTATCCTCGTATATAATCATCGACTTAAATCGCGTTAGTCAATAACGGGATTACATACGTCAAATACGAGAATGGAATTCGAACACGTATATTTCATGCAATCTTTGGTCCAGACGAAATAATGGAGAAGCGAAGAGAAACGACGCGCTGTGGAGGTGGCGGGTAGGCCACCTCTATTTAGTCAAGTGTTAGTCAACATTTATAGTCACACCAAAATAGGCTACAAACATGTGATGAATAGGGTAAGAAGTGTACATACGCTGACACCCATATAAAAACAGTCAACGTTGATAAACGAACAATTAACAAGGTCATAACATTACTCAACTAGGATGAGTAGATTGGCCTGTTCGAAAGCTAGAATAAGATACATGCGCTAAACATGTCAACCGACACTACAGCATTTTCATGTATACAATTCTTGTTTCCGTGACCATCCTGTACTTTGTGACTCCTTGCATTATAGAGAAGCCGGTGTTCATAAAACTGATATTTGATTGTAGAATCTCGCAAATTCCAATGATAAGGCAGTTACATTGATTGAATTTAAATTATCTCAATCAAGTGCGACCTGTCTTTGATGATCAGTCTTATTCCATTTTTTTCCCATGTCAGTGAACTTGGTTATCCTAATTAGGAAATCATACATTTCAATGATTTCACTGAATCGCATTTTGATAGTTCTTATCTCTCCTATTAGCTATCTTTGTAAGAATGTCGGTGACCTAAAAACTTAAACTCCGCACAGGATGTAGTAAATCTATGTTTGCTTAGTCTCTGGCAAAACCTTCACATAAACTTTTCGTGCCTTGAAGTAACCCTCGTGCTATTGATAGAAGAAACCAGACAAGTAGTGAATAGGTCTTTATTTCGATCTTCGCGCAGTCACAGTGGAGCGTGGGATTATCTGTTCAGACAAACAAAGCCTCTCAACATTCAAGATAATAGGGAATATAACGCTTATAAAAAATAAGGAAGTGAATGAATACTTGAACAATACTGTTTTGGCATAAGCTTGGTTGTTTGGGGTCAACTCTTAACCAACCAACCTGAGCTGTTACATTAGCTTCCCCCTAGAATCGACTTCCGTAGGAACGTCGGTTCGATTAACCTATCTATCGAAAACACCTTAGTTCTATTTCTCATCCCAAGGGAAGATTATCAACTGGCTCACTGTTTGACTTACAATCAGTGACGACTAACGCTGTCAGCTGTCAACGATAGTCCATGGATGTCTCCTCATTTACTAGCTCGTCATCTTATTTTGTAGCATGTGATCTATTCTACAACTATCGCTGACGGTTTACTGCGTGCTTTCAAGAGAAAGAATGTGAGAATGTGGAATAAGAATATCTGAGGAAGTGCCGCGAGCGGGCTACCCAACACCATGTTGGTGAGGTACGATTTTTCCATGCTCAGACCGGCTATCAGGTGTTTACTCACCTGCCTCTTTAGTCGCCCTCAAGTAAAAAGTAAAGAAGAATCTACCTCAAAGGTAATGGTGAAAACCAATCACACCTGAAGAACTGCTCCACTGCCTGCATAAAAATAATAAGATACAAAATGGAAATACAAAACTATAATTTATAATTGTTCGGTTCCACGTAAGTGATTGGCCTCCAGAAGGGATTGGTATTCTGGAAGAAAATAGACATAGTGTAGCCATCTTATGTACGAAAAGGTATGAAAACAAAAAAAACACTTTTTTATAATGCATATATGTAAAAGGGTGAACTTGCTAGAAGTTGGACTCTTTAACAAAACCGATCAAACGCGTGACCTTGAGCCTGTGATGACCGCGTTTTACAACTAGGTGCGTTGTAACGGGATTAAAATCATCATGTATGATGTTGTTAATAGATTTTGTTTTCTTTCTATTGCAGGACAAGCAAGAATAAACGCTTTAGAAGAAGAAGAGCAAGCCCTGCACGCACTAAACTTACAGGATGACTCAAGACCGTTTTGTAAACTAGCTCTCTTTCTGTACAGACCCCGCGAATTTAATTTTAAAAATAAACGTCCATTGTCCGCCATTCCTCGTTCTCTCTGTGGTGTAGAGTGTTCAGTTAACATTGTGTGTGTTGTGGCTTTAGGTCTTCCCGTCTTCCAGTGACTGCTGATTACACGTGTTACAACTGGTGTCGGAGGTGAGATGGAAAAACGCGATGAGAACCTAGACGAACCCCCTTTGATTCCAATCAGGGCTACTTCCAGTTCAACCCCACATCAACCACCACTGCTCGAAACATCATCAGATTACTCCGTTTGGAAGTTTAAAGTCACAGCGTACCTGCAGAGAGTTCCATTGTCCGAGCATTTCAACTACCTTGTTTCCTATCTGAGTGATGAAGCAGTACGCAGGGCTATAGCAAACGGTTTTGCGGTCAGTAACACGCTCCCACAAAACTGGAGGATTTTAGACGACTGTTTCTCCCTACCTGTAGACACCCAACAGATGACAATTCAGTTTTTGTCTCGCCACCAGAAACCTCAGGAAAACCCCATCGACTATTTTCACTCATTACAGCAGCTAGCAACCCAGGCATTCCCTAGCCTGGACATCTTGGGGCGAGAAGAAATTACACGCTCCCGTTTTATTGAAGGACTGCTGCCAGGTGCACTGCGAGAACATCTACTTCGAGTGCCACCGGCTGACACAGCCGACTTGAAACGAACGGCACTTCGGTTGTTGACTGCTGAAAGACTGTCAGTTCCATTGGCGACCTATCGACCAACCGTGATGACTATCGATGAAGCCACCGAACCTAATCTACAAGATAGCTTTCAAAGCGCCGCGGCTGTTAGAGGGTTCCCTGACCGGAATAGTAGACGAGGGCAGCCGACTCCCACATGGAACGGACGGTCGTCAAGGGACAACTATCGAGCCCAGCAAACAGAATGCTTCTATTGCAGACGTTTCGGCAAAAATGCCAAGAAATGCGGGCATAACCGCGTGGAAAACAGAGGTAAGCGGTGTCGTTTACATATATCGTCTTGCTATGTTAAGCATTTGTGCCCTGTTACTATTAAGGGTAGAGTGCAAAGTACTGAGATTAATATACTATTAGATACAGGAGCTTCAGTATCCTTGATCAAGGAAGACCTCTTGCAGAAACTTAACCCCAGCACTCAGCGTAAACAACGCTCTTCTACGTTAATTACCGCGAGCGGAGAACCCTTGAAAGCGTGTTCTAAGATAGGGTTAGAGCTGACGATTGACAAGAAGCCTTTTCAACATGAATTCTGGGTTTGCCCCACACTGACTTGGGACATGATTCTCGGGGTCGACTTCATGTTAAAATACCAGGTCTCTATACACATGAATAAGTCAGAAGCGAGTATTGGTGGAGTTGTCGTACAAATACAACACCATGAAATACCAACTAAATCCGTAGCCCAGGTGGGAACTGCAGAGATTGTACGTCAGGTACAAGATAACCAATTAATAAGTGAAAAGGACCGTCGGTCTACCATTGACGTACTCCAACGATTTAGCACTGTTTTCTCGGAGAACATCTCTGGAAATCGGACAACCATTGTGCAACATTCCATTGTCACAGGTGACCACATGCCATTACGCCAACCACCTCGCAGGGTCCCGGTGCATTATCAGCCTCATTTAGAATCCATGATAAAAGATATGTTAGAAAAAAAGATTATTGTACCATCTTCGTCACCCTGGGCATCGCCAATTGTCTTAGTAAAAAAGAAGGACTCCTCCCTACGACTGTGTGTAGATTACCGGCGCCTTAATGCTATAACTAAGCGTGATCCTTTTCCACTTCCACGGATAGACGCTACCTTAGATGCCATGAAAGGTGCTCGCTGGTTCTAAACGCTAGACTTAGCATCAGGGTACTGGCAAGTGGAAGTCCGACCCCAAGATAGAAAAAAACTGCATTTGTAGTGCCTAATGGCTTATATGAATTTCAAGTAATGCCTTTCGGGCTAACTAACGCCCCAGCTACCTTTCAACGATTGATGCAGACAGTTCTGCAAGGTCTCGTACCGCACCAGTGCTTAATCTACCTTGACGATATTATTGTATACGGCAGCACGCCAGAACAACATAATGCCAATTTGAAGGCAGTCCTACAACGTATTAGGCAGCATAACCTAAAAGTGAAACCATCTAAATGTCGACTATTGCAAAAAGAAGTGCTTTTCTTAGGGCACCGCATTACAGATGATGGAGTGGCAACAGATAAAGAAAAGACACGTGTGATTGTCAATTGGCCGCAACCAAAATCACCTGAAGACGTTCGTAGCTTCCTTGGACTAGCTTCTTACTATAGACGCTTCGTACGTGATTTCGCATCATTAGCAGCACCTTTACACCGATTAACCCACAAAGGACGAAAATTTTTATGGACCAGCGAGTGTCAACAGGCGTTCGATGCTTTGAAGGCTCGGTTAACTTCTCCACCTATATTAGCCTTCCCAGATACTTCAGCAGACGGAGGCGAATTTATACTTGATACGGATGCTAGTTCCTCGGCTATTGGAGCAGTTTTATCACAAGTAGCTCGAGATGGACACGAAAGGGTCATTGCGTATGCTAGTCGACGATTAGATAAGAGTGAAGCACGATATTCTACAACACGTCGGGAGATGTTAGCACTAGTAAAATTCTTACGACATTTTCGCCATTATCTGTTGGGCAAACCCTTTCGTGTGCGAACCGATCACCCTGCACTGCAGTAGCTCCGTTCTTTCCGCGAACCAGAAGGGCAAGTTGCACGCTGGCAGGAGAGACTACAAGAGTTCGATTTCACATGCGAGTATCGACCGGGAAATCGACATGCAAACGTGGATGCACTCTCCCGAATACCCCAGACCACAGATATTATTAACGCAATTCTTAGTACAGCTCCAGAGACAGACTGGCCCTCCCTACAAGCAACAGATCCAGACTTACAGATTGTTTATCAAAGACAGCTACATGGAAATAGTAAGCCATCCATGAGGGAGCTTAAATATCATTCCGTAACAACTCGTCGTATCTGCACCAAATGGGGTAACTTCAAGCTATATGGTGACACATTATTCCTAATGAATGAATCAAAACAACCCCTACTGATAGTACCGCGAGTGAAAGTTGAAAGTATTGTGGAACAGGTACACCGTGAACTTGGTCATGCGGGAGAACGGAGAACTGAACACGCTGTTCGTCAACGCTTTTGGTGGCCTTCCATACACGAAGATGTAGCTCAGTTTTGCAAGAATTGTAACAAGTGCTGCCGTTTTAAATCGCCTCAGCAGACACCCCGTGCACCAATGACGCCGATGGTAACGACAGGACCACACCAGCAAGTTGGTATAGACATCATGGGACCACTAACTACAACAAAAAACGGGAACCGCTACATGCTGGTTATGGTGGATTATTTCACTAAATGGTGCGAAGCTGTACCCCTTCCACAGCAAGACGCCCTTACTGTTCCCCGAGCTTTCATCGATCACTGGGTCTCCCGTTATGGTGCCCCTGTCTCACTCCACTCCGACCAAGGCCCATCCTTCGAAAGCCACCTCATTACTGAGATATGCCGGCTATTAGGAATCAAGAAGACACACACCACTGCCTATCACCCAGAAGGTAACGGCCTCGTGGAAAGAACAAACAGAACTATTAAAGCCATCTTGCAGTCGTTTGTCAGCAGATCGTCACCGGAGTTATGGGATGAGGTGCTTCCCCAATGCCTTTTAGCATATCGTACGTCGGTACATGGGTCCACGGGATTCTCGCCTGCTATTTTGCTGTTCGGGCACGAACTACGCCTACCAGTAGAGATACAGTCACCCCTGCTGCCCTACGAAGAACAAGAGCATGTTCCGTACATACGTACTCTTCGCAACCGACTAGCTGATGCCTACCGTCTGGTCAACATTAACTTAGGCAAGGCTAGTGGACACCAAAAAGATATATATGATCGTCAAGCACAAGGACCTAGGTATACGGTTGGAGATCGCGTCTGGTTACGCCGCCCAACGACGTCGCTAGGGGGTTGCAGTAAATTCCATCAACCCTGGCAAGGCCCCTTTGAAATTGTCCTCATCCGATCGCCCACCACGTTTGTATTGCGTAACATACAACGACCTAAAGACGATGTGATAACGGTGCACTACAACCAGATAAAACCCGATCGGACGACATTTCCCTTCGATGCTCAACTCGCTGATCCACCGCCGGCCACTAGATTTTACGAAGTACCATACACAGTCACTACCTGGTTGAACGGCATAGGGTGCAAACACCTGTTTACCGCTACCAGATATCCGTGTTCTAATGGCAAGGCAGAGAATTTTGTCAGAACATTAAGAACTGCTACTGATTCTTTAGCTGACTTAACATTTAATGAGCTGGAGAGGGGAGAAGATACCTTTCTGTTGCAATATAGAAATGCCAGACATTCGGTGACGAAGTAGACTCCAACGAAGCTATTGAAAGGAAGAATTCTTCGGTCGAAAATGAGATGTTTGGAGTCCGCAGAAATTACATACTATCGAGGAAATGATCTTCGACCATTTACGGGTGTTGTTCTGAAGAATTTCGGAAAATCGATGGTGCGAATTCTAGACATCAATGACTTAAGTACACACAGTCAACATGTTGATCAAATACAATTTCAGGAACCAGATGAGTTAGTTCCAATTTCGGTTGTTAATTCTAATGCTAATGAGCACATTCTAGATAATGCAGAATTCTTATCCAATACAATGTCAGACAGACTCAGGATGAATTTGAGAAGAAGACGTACGACAGATTACAAACACCTAGACTCCAATTTAAGCTGTGGCGGATGTGGTGTTTGAACGAATTAATGATGCCTTGATACTTGTGGACTGCTTGATTTCAAATTCCAAATACAACACATTCGTTTGTGCTTGTGTCTTACTTCTTAATTCAGTTGAGTTAATTCTGGATTCCTAGTTTATACGATGTGAATATTGTACCACACCTAAAATATGAGCTTGGTGTGCCATAATTATCCATTCATAGGATTAAGAATTTACTAATATATTACACAAATACGATTTTACTTTCCTCTTCATGTTTAAGTTTCGCTGAATAGCACTGGACCTCGTACCACCTGGAAAATATTAAAATAATTCATGCAGAACAAATATCTAGAAGTTCAAGTAGTTCAAGAAGTTAGAAGACTGGTCAAATAAATGTTGACTGTGTATAGGATTTCATGGGACCCTCATTTTAATGGCAGATACTTTTGAAAAAGGAAACAACCTCGCTCAATAGCAGCCTCTTGGTGAAATTGATAACCATGTGACCAATTAAGCAAGCAATCACCAGCACCCTCATACTTTAGTTTTAATTATGGTAGTGTTATGATGTGAAAATAATAAAATGCTGATTAGAGGGTAGCGAATTATTGATCGGACCAAAGACGAGCAAACACGTAGAACGACCTAGGGTTCTGATTGATCCTGCTTCCCTGTATAGCCCAGTCAATTGAGTCCAGAACGCAAGTCACAGCCTCGGATATATGAATCATTATATTTCAAACATACTTTGTTTATATACCAGTCAAGCAGACCACAACGTACCATAAAATAGAAAATAACATTGTACAATAATGGCCAACAGGAAAATAACACGTTAAATAAATATTGACCAATAAGATGATACCATTTCATGTCCAAGGATAGCATTAGGCTTAACACGATAATTTTTGGGATACTTTCCTGAATATCCCAACAGGTAGCTTACGATCCATTGTATAGGATGTCTGGGAAAAGTTTAGTAGGAATTTAGGAACAGGCTTTCTGTTTTGAATGATAGTGCGTAACTATTTCAGGTTATCATTTAATATTCTACAGGGTAAAAAGCCATATTGAAATTCAGAAAAGATAGTGGTCCTGGACATATACGGACCCGGTGGATGTAGATTACCAACGTAGGTGGTCTATACCGACGATTGGCGGCTTGCTCATGTTTGACGTGAAGCGTGATATCTTAGCTTATATTAAAGTCACAGCATGCGGTTAATACGTACGCAATGTGGATCACTGTATTCTTTTATCCAGGTACTATGGCCACTCTTCTGATCGTACAACACAAGCAACGATATTACAAAAAGGGCATTAAGAAGAAACCACGTTGAGCCGAGGAGCCAGAAGCGACCGTAACGACCAAGTTCGAGACCAGACGTATGCCAAACATTCGAAACCAAAAAACGACTGAGTGCGTTGACAAGAGCGTGGATGGCCAGTCCAGCTTTCGCCAAAGTTGACTGAAGTCGACGGTACCAAACGGGGATGGTCGGAGGCGTGGGCTCAGTATACAGAAAAAAATCAAAAAGAAAGAAGGGTGTAGCATGCATGTATTATAGGAACAGTCCTACGCCATATCCGTTGTTGACTGTGTGGGTAACCTCACTTGGCGACCGGAACGTGAGACAGTAGTCTCGTTTGTATCTCGTGAGCCTGCAATCTCATCTGAAGTCAAGGGCAGCGTGGCCTGGTGATCTGAACGTGAGACTGAAGCCTCGTTCGTGGATGGTGCAGATGACGCGTGCTGTTGACCGGGACGTGAGAATGAGGTCTCGGATGTATCTAGCGTGGGACCTGAAGAAGATTTAGGGATCCCGTTAGTAGGTTTGATAGGTCTAGCATTAAGTCTCAAGTTATGAGATAGGGCACTGTCATCGACGTGTGCTGATTTGGGATGACCAATGCTGACGATCTCGACGCGGCCATGTCGATCAACCTTGAAGGTCTTTTCGTGACGAGCGATCACGCGAAATGGGCCTTCGTAAGGTTGTTGCAAAGGTTTGCGTACCGAATCTACTCGTATGAAAACATGTGAACAGGTGGATAACTCTCGAGGGAGAGCGAACTGTCGATGTCGTATTGAAGTTGACACCGGAGACAGTGTTCGCATAAATTCAGACAGTCGTTGGACGTAGACTGATTTACCGAAATCACGTCTGCTCCGTGGTGTGAAGAATTCCCCAGGCAGACGCAATGTCGTGCCGTATACAAGTTCAGCTACGGAACATTGGATATCTGCCTTCAAGCTCGTTCTGATGCCTAAGAGGACGAGTGGTCAGGTTTCGTACCAATTGTCGTTTTTGTGTGCTCGTAGTGCAGTTTTAAGTTGGCAATGAAACCGTTCAACTTAACCATTTGAAGCTGGCTTGTAGACGGTAATGCGTATGCGTTCCGTATCAAGCAGCCAGGTCAGAGAGGAGAATAGTTAATTGGGGGAAATTTCTCGAATAAAGCGTGGAATTTACCGTCACGCGAATAAAAAGTGCCAAGGATTCGATACACGTACATAGGAATCTGTTTTATCAATACTACTCTGGTCGCTATCCATCATGTCGAGTATATTATATATTAAAAAATAATATGAAAATATACGACAGACGTTAATAGATTAACAATAGACTCACCAAATTGATTTCTTTGAGTGGTTGGACCAGAGGTTGCGGCGTGTTCCACAATTCGATTCACCAGTTGTAGCGTGGAGTCGAGTCGAGATTGACTATGAACACCACTACAAAGGAACGCATGCCAGGATATCCACAAAATCCCCCGGAAGCCAAATATCAGAAGGCAGTTAATGGGCCAAGTCGAGATATATTTGCTGGCGATCTCGTGGTATCGAAAGAATACCGAGATCGTGCCAGGAGACAAGCTTGGTTACTGAGTGTAACCCGATTCGCGCGAGGTCACAATCGAAG